TCTCGCTAGACTTTCTGCCTGTGAGACAGCTTGAAGTGCAAAGATAGAAAGCTTCGGAGAGTATTTATTTTAGTTAAAGAAACTGTTCACAAATGTACAAACAAGTTCTGCATACCATTCCTCTGGAAAGCATCTATCAGTTGGCAGACATTCCTAGAAAGTGTTCTGTGATTTTGAGGTATAGTTGATCTTTGATGAGCAACTGGAAGTTGAGGGGTGCCAACCCCTCCTGCAACCAAAAGTCAGCAGATAGCTTAAACTCAACTACAACTGGCCATTGTTGACGGGAAGCCTTATCAATAATATAAATGGCTAATGAGCAGGAATTTGTATATCACATGTATTATAACTATATTCTTATGATAAAGTAAGCTAGAGAAAAGAAAACGTTATTAAGAAAATCATAAGGAAGAGAAAATGTATTTTCTATTTATTAAACGGAAGTAGATCATCATAAAGGTCTTCACCCTCATCGTCTTCATGTTGAGTAGGCTGAGGAGGAAGAGGAGGGGTTGGTCTTGCTATTACAGAGGTGACCGAGGCAGAAGAAAATCAACATATAAGTGGACTTACATTCTAACGCATGTTGTTCAAGGCTCAGCTGCATATAGAAAAGTGTATTTTTTTTTAACCCAACACAGACCACTAGCCATTCTCATTGTCTTTAACCAGTTTTTGTTGAAATAAAAGTAAATATGAAATAATTATACTCTTTTTTTTTTTCTTTTTGAGACGGAGTCTCGCTCTGTCACCCAGGCTGAAGTACAATAGCACAATCTCGGCTCACTACCACTTCCGCCTCCCAGGTTCAAGCGATTCTCCTGCCTCAGCCTCCCGAGTAGCTGGGATTACAGGCACCTGCCACTACGCCCAGCTAATTTTTGTATTTTTAGTAAAGATGGGGTTTCACCATGTTAGTCAGGCTGGTCTTGAACTCCTGACCTCAGGCAATCTACTCACCTCAGCCTCCCAAAGTGCTGGGATTACAGGCGTGAGCCACTGCACCTGGCCAATAATTATACTCTTTCAAAATCATAAGATCCATCTTTTTGAATAATGTGTTAGAAAATCAGTTTTATGGCAAATCGATTGGAGGACAATTCTTTAGCTTTACAAGCTGCAGAGAGCTCAGAACAGTCCTGAAAACAGGCTTCTTGTGAAGATTGCATTGTTTCTGTGCATTTATTTTGGTCATGCTCTGACCTCTGTATAGGGCTGTGTGTCTAACATGGCAGCCTTTAGCCACACATGGCTGTTTAAAAGTAAGCATAATTAAAAAGTCAGTTCCTCGGTGACAGTAACCACATTCCAAGCGCTCAGTGGCCATACATGGCAGGTGGCTACTGTATTGAACAGTGCAGATATAGCCCATTTTCATCCCTGCAGAAAGTTCTATTGGACAATTCCGGTCTAGGAAAAGACCGGGACGTCTGTCCAAGGAGTACCATTTACAAACTCAAGGTTTCCTGTGTTTTCAACACAAGCACTTTGAGCTATTCAGCTATAGTTGAGGGAGGGAAAAAAAAAAACTTTACCAAAATACAGCAATTTCTTGACTATAAAAATATGAAGCAGCATTTTCCAGAGTAGGGGTCATGCAATCCAGGTTCCAACAGATGTTGCCAGGACCATGGCAGGAGTTGGGGTACAGAGAGATGGAGCAGAGATCTGCAATCCAATAGTTGGAGGCACCGGGTAAGCCAGATTAAACCAATTTCTTTCCTATAGGACTTAAAGCTTTCAATATGCAAACACGTATTGCTTGAGCAAGCAGAACAGCACACTCAGCATTTCCTCAGCTCTATAGAGCAAGAACTACCTTTTGTGTGGTACATTTTGTAAGACAGGTGTTTTATGAAGCTACTTGGGATTCAGATGGCTTGCTTTATTTTTCTAATGCATAGTGCTGAGTTGCGTACTGCTAGTCACAATGAACAGGTGATACCCAAAAATCAGAGCCATTAGGCCCACAATAGTTCTTTTTTGTAGAGAATTAATGAAAGCATGGCTTTTTAAATTATATAGTATAATTGCCTCAAATGTGTTTTTGAGACTACAGTATATTTTTACAGTAAAATCTTTTTCTTTCTAACACTGCCATTGATATATATATTTATGGGTTTAAGATCAGTTAGAGAAGATGGGATGAAATTTTGTGATCATGTGTGCTTAGTAACTCTCCTTCCAAGGATCCCTATTAAATGAACATGAGAATAACTTATATAACAATAAATGATAAATAAAATATTTTCATAGGGCAAGTGTCACCATGTGTCAATCTCATAGAATGTTAACTGCATGGGGCATTATGATAATAACCAAAAAAATGACTTGTAGATTGTGTTTTTGTTTTCCATGTGTGAAGAAGTGCTTCTGCAAACAGCGAGAACAATCCTAAGGAGGTAGTGCTTGGGTCCAGCTCAGCTGGGACAGACCTGGGGGCAGCTTGCATCTCCCTAAACCCCAGCATTCTGAATGGTGATCTTCCCCTTTCCAGCACTATTTTGTATTAGATAAAAATATGGAAATGATCAACTTTTCCATAGTATTACAGCAGCTAAGTATGTTCTTGACATAATTATACAGCGGAATACAATACTCTGTTACGAAGAGTGAGGTCAATCCGTGTCCTGATACGGAACCACTTTTAATACACAGAATGAAGTAAAGACAGCATGAAAAGGGGATCCATGCGCGTGAGTGTGTAAGATATTTTCCGGAAAGAAGCAAAGACACCCCGGGAACAGTGGCTGCCTTTGGGTAGAGGAAGTGATGATGTGAGGGAGGAAGCCTTTACTTTTCAGTTTATAACCTTCTAGAATGTTTGAGGTTCCTGAACATGTAGATTGGTAGTTACTTTTTTATAACATGAGGGACTGAGCTTATGAATTACTTTTTTTTCTTAATTAAACTTAGTAATGTTACATGTTAAAAATAAAAGCAATGTGACCAATAATTACATCAGGTAGAATTTTACACCTTTTTAGGCATAGTGTTTCTTTGAGGTTAGACTAGGGAGAAGGAAATACGCTTTTCACTGGCAGAGACCGAGGGCACAGAAACCAGCTCCATGGAGCCTCGCTGCTGTTCCAGAAAGAGCCAGGCCTGCAGGTGGTGGTCCGGCTGGCCACTCTTAAACTGGAAGGTGTCAGGAGCAACTCTCCTGTCATACCCACGTAGCTGAATGTCATTTTTTAATGAGAATGAAGTCCACTGGGAAATTTAATTTACCTTCGCAAAATAGGGTCTCTGAAACATGTCACCAAATGTATTGAGCAGCCAAGGCAAATCAGTGATGTTTTAATTAAATTACACAAAATGTCTAAATAGTTCTTACATTACAGGAAAACATGTCCCATTGCTACTTTGCACATCTCTGTATTCTAGCAATCATCTTCCTACAGGGCATTTGTTCAGCTAGTGCCCCTTGAGGGTCAGGGCAGAGATCGTCTAGCATATGCCCAGAGCATCCCACGTTAGCCCCATGGCATGATGAAGAAGCAGCACACCCTCACTCTTCACACGAAACAGGAACACCAAGGCCGGCGCTAAGCAACTGCTGTTATTCCTGTTGTTCATGACGTTTAGGCAGAGTTGAAGGGAGCCCACACAGAATGAGCGCTCAGGACTAGAGTGTCAGGCATTTCTCTTGCTTGTCCAGCATTCCATTGGGAAAGGCTAAGTCGATCAATTATTCAATCAGCTGTCTCTACAAGCTCCTGGGAGGGAATAGGGCTTTTCTTGGGTAAAGACCAGCCAGTCCCATGGGCACTGGTTTCCAAGAATCTGCAACAGATGTAGAAATCACATTTCCTAAGATTCCAAGGAATGCAGCCATTTTTCCTCCTTCTCCACTTGGCATCTCAGTGGGCCCCCGGGTTCTACCAGTTGAGGTCCTCAAAGACTCACTTTTGCCTCTTTTGTACCACGAAGTGGAAACTTGAAGTATGCCCTGGGCAAATCTGATCTGGCCTGGCTTGACCTTCAGTCCCACCTCCCCTAAGATTTGGAGGTCCTTAGGAGGTACACCTGGCAGAACTATCCAAGCCTACCATACAGGCCTTTGTCCCCACTGTCCATTAAAAAGTTGATGTTGTGGATGGAGACTAAGGAGATTTCTTAAAGTCCAATTTATTTTAGAATATTTTCCAAGGAGAAGGAAAACATCAAGTAACTACAAGGCCACAGGTAAGGCCCAGGTCCAATGTATAACCCTTGCCTGTCTGTTTGCCCATTCTTGAACCAGGATCAGAAGAAGTGTACAAGTGAGAAGGAGCCCAATCAGAAGGAGATAAGCCTCACTGTTGCACTCTAGGAGGTAATTTGTCAAGCGGGCCTATTGCTGCACTTCCAAAAAGCAATTTTCTTCCTCCTTTCTATAGAAGAAGGCCAAGAATGCCTGTTTCTTTCTCTAATCAAAGTCGCCTGTTACTCTCTTTCAGATAGATAATATATTGTTCCTGACACACATCACATTTTTCTTCACAAAGCCATGTTGGTTATTGACCAGAGTTAAGGGACAGTCTGGGAATTTGATGCCAAGTGATTTTTTTCCCAATTCCTCTCAAGGTATTAGTGCTAAACCGTCAGGGCTGTAATTTGGAGGAAGTCTGTGTTCACTCTTCCTGTGGCCACCTCCCCATGTAGATGAACCCAGTCTACTTGCAGAATGTGACATATCCCTAAATAATTCTTACACATTATCAAATGCAAGCTTTTGATTGTGTCCTTCTTAGAATTTGAGCCCAGCACTTTGGGAGGCTAAGGCGGGCAGATCACGAGGTCAGGAGATCGAGATCATCCTGGCTAACATGGTGAAACCCCGTCTTTACTAATATGAAAAATTAGCCGGGTGTGGCGGCGGGCGCCTGCAGTCTCAGCTACTCGGGAGGCTGAGGCAGGAGAATAGCGTGAACCCGGGAGGCGGAGCTTGCAGTGAGCCGAGATCGCGCCAGAGCACTCCAGCCTGGGCGACAAAGGGAGACTCTGTCTCAAAAAAAAAAAAAAAAAAAAAAAAACTTGAAGCATTGTTCTTTATGTGTACAAGCCTGCGTTTTGACATGCCCTGATTATTTGAAGGAAATAGAATAAATAGTCCAGTTAACTTGTAAGTTAGTCATTTGCATCAGAAATAAGATGGAATTTTATTTGCTGGAGTTTTAAAGAATGTAGAGCTTGGAATGGATGTGTCCTAAAAGAGAAATTTCCCAGTGATTAATCAACCTTGTTTAGACCATTCATTTAAATGATTTTACATGTAAATAGGAAGTACATAGAAAAGCTGTGTATTCAGAAGATAGCTGCTATTTGGAAAGAAAGAAATCTAAATCAAAGTAGACTTCTCAAAAACTCTTTTATGTGATGACATGACTGGGCTTTGTATAAGCAGTATTGTATTGCTGTAAAGTTCAGAAGCTGCTTAATCAATAAAAAAAGTTGAAGTAGAGAGATAGGATTAAAGAGATAAGATCTTTGTTAGACTAAATCTATTGACCCAGAACTTCCTGTAATGGGATGGATGGGAACTGCTTCACCTTGTTAATGTAACAGAGGTTTTCCATCTCAAAATTGCTGTTTGGAGACTATGTCACTGTGTCTATTTTTAGTTTCTTGGTCTAAAGAAACCACAGATTGTTTTTGCAAGACCTCAGAAAAGCACAAAACTTCCATTGTAAACACGATTTAGATAAAACACTTACTGGGTGTGCTTTTAATATTCTGAGCATCACGTTAAACATCATTGATGTAAAATCAGAAATCTGCAGGGACACAAGCTACCTCGGAATGTGAATAAAATAGCCAGCATGAAACCAACTCTGTAGGCTATTTACCTTCCCTGTACAAACAGAACTGCTTGCTGATAGAGCGTGACCCCCAGCACCTGGCTGTCAGCCAGCAGGGGCAAGTTTCTATCAGGTCATAGTTAGAATCTGTGTGTGCACAACAGACAGACTGTAGACTAAAATGTCAGTTTCCCTCCTGACGTCAATCTCCCCCTTTCTCTTGCTAACAGAACCTATTTTTTTTTCTTTTTTTCAAATGTGCACCGCTTTGGGAAATGACCTCATTTTCCAGGTCAGTAGTGAGTTCTGAGTAGTCTAAACCAGTCTTGCTAATCCTGTGACCCTTACTAGTGATCAGGTTTGAGAAGATCCAGGCCCTTCTAGGGTTCATTACACTACTGAGTGCATCAGCTCTGAAGCCACTCCATTGTTGGACTACCTGTAATGGGATATGATACATTTCCTTTCCATTTAAGCCAGTTAAATTGGAGCTTTCTGTTTCTCCAATCAAAATCTCTTAATGGGCACACAGGCATTTATTTCTCTTAATAATGACCAAAGGAATTCATTTACTAAGGACTTTGAGCAGATATTGGAAAAAAAAAAAAAGAATTATTTGATTGGAGCTTTTTAGTAGCAAACAAAATCACCTCCAGATTATTATATTCCATAATGTTTTCGTGTCCACTGTAACGGTAATCAGCAATTTAAAAAAATCTTTTTGTTCCTCTCTGGCTAAATGGATTGTAGTAGCCTCCATTATATTATTCTGACACTAGTTCCATGGCGTGTGGCCAATTCCTAGGACTACAGTGACATAAGTGGATGGGAGTTTATTTCTCTCTCTCATAAAATTATGTCTGGAGCTGGGATGCTCCACTCCACCAAGCCTTTAGTTGCCTTCATCTACATGGTGTAAGGTGGCTCAGCCCCAGGTCCACATTTCAACCAGAAACAAAGGGGAAGGAGAAGAGGACATTCCCAGTCTCTTTAAAGGTCAAATCTGGAAGTAGCACACAACATTGCACTCATATTCTGACAGAGAAAAGTTACTTGTGAGGCTACATGGCCAGCCCCCAAAGCAGTTGGGAAATATCTTTATTCTGGGTGCAATGTGCCCAGCTAGAAACTGTTCCTATGAAGAAAAGGGCGAATGGATGATGAGCGGACAAATGTCAGTCTCTGCCTCATCTGGTGTCTTTTCTGTCTCCTTTTATCATTACTCAAATACCATTCACTTGTCTCCAGTCTCAGAGTTTCATATTTTCATGCAGGAAAAGAAAAAAGTATTCTGGCAAGAAGCTACTTCTTTTTTATTTCTAACAGAATTGAGTATTTCCTTGGTGATGTTCTTTTTAACAATATATATTTTTCACTTTCTGTATTCCCAGGCATGAGAAATTAGACCTCCAACTCTCAATAATACCCATAAAATTGTATTCACCCCTTCTATTAAAAGGTGTTGCCACAATAACCTTCTGAAGTTGTGCAGATAAATAGAGTTCGCATTCAGTATTGCCATAAACTGAAAGCAGAGGCACAATTCTAGAAAATTCTCTAGTTGGATTGACATTTACACCTGCTGATTATTTTGTTCTCATGTCACATACAAAGGCACTACTAAACCATGTAGAACCACATGTTCCACGGACTAAAGCTTTTGGAGTTACAAATTGAATATGATATTTCACGTAGCACTTGGAGTAATATCAGCTTCTGATTTACATTTCTAACAGAAGTCCTAGGAGTTTTAGCTTTTATTCTTCCACCGCAATCACTAGAAATCATGCTGTTTTTAGCAACTAAGCTATTCTCATAAGAAACATTCACCAAGGGGAAAAATTCAGTATATTCTCCCTTATATTGAAAATAAATCAGTAATACTTGTAGGGGAAAATTGTTTATTCTACATGCATGAATTGGTTATCCAGTATGTATATGGCTCTCTGCTAGATGCTACAGGCACACAGAGGTGATGCCACAGCCACTGTGCTGGAGAAACACATCATCTAATGGGAAGACAAGGCACGTCTGTGTGAAACAGCATAGCCACATGGCAACATGTAATTGTGCCGGGGAATGTCCCACAGAAATCCAGGATGCTTAATGACCTTAATGACCCAGTTCCTGCATCACTGTGAACACACCTCATAGTCATGTGTGTCACACTGCTTGTGTGCATACCACTTGCCCACATGTGGAGCTGCTGTGGGGCTGCTGGTGGGGTGAGCAGGAGCTGCCTTCTATTCATTTTTGTATCCTCAGCAATGACCCCTGCATTCAGCACACTCATTGTGTCATGAATGATGCTGTGAGAAAGGAAAAGGTTTGGAATCAAGAATGGGGAGCTTCATTAAGCACACTGAGGGATGGAAAAATTTGGCCTAAAGTGGTGACTGAAATATTTCAGGCAGAAGATTCTGCACCAGAGTGAAGGGTCAGGAAGCCAGGCAGCTGCAGATAACACGGCCAGGGAGGAACGAGTAGGCGATGGGGAGGAGTTGTGGGCTCATGGTGCCTGATCAAGAACAAGAGAGGGAAAGGGAGTCTGGCCCTGCGGGCTAAGGATTTGGGACTTCATCCTGCAGACCATGGAGGCCAGGACATGATCAGATCTTTTGGAAAAAGTAATCTAGTGTGAGGGTGAGGAGAACAGGTGGAAAGGGGGTTCATTGAAAGTCACAGAGACCACTGTGACGGTGAGTATCTTGTGTGAATATACAGCCTTCCGACCCTATAAAACAGGAATCACTATTTATCTTTTCTCCTTCTACTAGTGAAGCAGCATTGGTAGTCCCGGGTAAATCCCCAGGGTTCCTTATCTCACGCCAAGAAAATTAAGTACACAGACACGTGGGTGGGTTAAGAAGTGGAAAGTATAGGCAGAAGAAAGGAGAGAGGAGAGCAGCTCTTTGCAAGAGAGAAATGTCTGAAAAAAAGGGTCAAGGTGGCGGATCACAGCAGATTTTATAGGTAGCCTTGAGGAGGCAGTGTCTGATTTATGTAGGACTCACAGATTGGTTTGACCAGGTGTGGCATTTACATAGCACGCAGAGAAGGCTCTTGGCCCCACCCTAATCTTATTATGCAAACAGACTTTCCACTTGATGGGGCCATCTTTTCTGCTCCTGACTGTACATGTGGCTGGCAAAAAGAGAAGATGGAGCCGCCATTTCGAACATGGCTAGTCCCAGGGACTATATTCCTATGGGCACAACTGCCAGCATGTACCCGTGCAAGTTTCCAGCATGCTTGTTTGTGTCTGCAGCTCGATTTTACAGGCTGCTCTTGTTGGAAAGGAAAATGATTTGGGGGCTGCTTTTCGTTAAAAGAAAAACCTTACTGAGGACTTCCGCACCCTCACTGTCTGCCTAAGTACTTTCTTTTTAACTCCTATATGACTAGTTTTCAGAAATTATTTTAAGAATTTTAGGTTTGTAATATCATATGCATTTAAGGCTGAAACCTTGGGGATGTGGAAGATTTGGGTCATTATTTTATTTTAGAGATTATTTAGAAATTGAATTCCTAACCACTCTCTGTATAATGTGTAATAGCTAGTATGGTACACTATAGAATATTTATACTCACCCATCTTCATTATGCTGCATAATTTGCTGCCTTTCATTTTTTAATCTAAAAATATGAGTGTAATATTTAAAAGTCTTAAATAGCAAATTTTCCTTACTGTTTCCTCAGCATCCACCATGGTATCCAACACACATATAATTGTATAAGAGGGTTTCATATGGAAAAGTCCCGCGAGTGACAAGATTTGCAGATTTCTAAGAGGCTTTCTACCAATATTTGAGAAGTGATGGCAGGTGTAAGGGGTGGACTGTGACAGCCACCCTTCTTGACTCAGATGTCCCAGCACCCACGTGCATGCACCAGTGAACATGAAAAAGTGAAAGGCAAGAAAGACCTTCTGACCATGACATTCCAGCCGTGTTACCACGTGAGCGTCTTCCCACTCTTGTAACCCATGGTTTCTATTTAGCAAGGATTTTTTGTCTGAATTAATTTATTTCAAAAATACAAACAAAAGCAAGTAAAAAACCCCACAAAGCTAATTTATAACCACCCTAGATATTTTCAGTGTCTTTAGAGCATTTAACATTAGTACACTGGGAATCACAGCCCACCCTGGAACAGATAGAGTATGGAGTAAACCCCTGAGTAGGGAGCTGGGTCCAGACTCACACACACACATACTAGATACATACACCCACACTCACACACACACACCCATATACACACCCCTGTTTCACAAACTAGATCCAGAAATAAACTTCTTACCATTTTACCTATGAAAAAGTTATTTTTTTACTTAAGTGAACCCTGAAACTTGTGCATTTGAATTTTAATCCAGTTAGTTTTACACAGATCCCAAAGTCTCTAGGCCAAATTTTTCTGCAAGGAGAAGCATTTTGTACTTGTAGATACATAGATTTTATATATATATATATATATATATGTGTGTGTGTGTAGAGAGAGAGAGAGAGGATAGATAGATAGATAGATAGATAGATAGATAGATAGATAGATTTTTAATAGAGCTAATTATAGTGAAAATTTTAAATTGAAATTAGTTTTTTGTTTCAGGGAACGGTATGAAGGTGAAGATTTGCAAATGTTTACCCCAAACCCCTTCTTTATTAAACACTTTTGGCATCTATCTACTTTCCTTGTATGCGTGTATCTCCAGTGTTTGCAAAGACTTTTTCTATGTATCCCTAAAAGTAGGGTCCATTGTAACAGTTCCAAAACATTCCTCAAAGCTGTTCTTTTATAATCTCATCATTCTCATCCCTGAGCACCTCCATTTCCCAAGCCTGGATAACAGACGCAGGTAATCCACCTGCCTGTCTGATATTCAGATTTATAATTCCCTTGCTGGTAAGACTGACATGATTTTTTTCAGAGCACCCTGACTCTTTCCAAAGGATAGGTGCCCTAGAGCAGCAGGGACAGTGCTCCTAAATAGCCCTAGACATTTGCAGTGTATATGTCCATGGTCACTCACACGTACAAGCCCCCTAAAGAGAAAATCTTCTCCTTTTAACCTGTTTTGGATTCTGCCCAGGTTCCTTTCTTTGGGGTGGTCTTACTGGGCCACCTGCCTCGGGACACTTTTAACTCATTTAGTTGATTTCTTCCAACACTGGGTCATTAAAATGTGGGAGTGTATCGGTTTCCTCAGCAATGTTGCTGGGTGAGGGTGGGGGGTGGCATTTGCACAATTTTTTTTTTTTTTTTTTTTTTTTGAGATGGAGTCTGGCTCTGTCTTCCAGGCTAGAGTGCAGTGGCATGATCTCAGCTCACTGCAAGGTCCACCTCCCGGGTTCATGCCATTCTCCTGCCTCAGCCTCCCAAGTAGCTGGGACTACAGGTGCCCACCACCATGCCCGGCTAATTTTTTGTATTTTTGGTAGAGACGGGGTTTCACTGTGTTAGCCAGGATGGTCTCAATCTCCTGACCTCGTGATCCGCCCACCTCGGCCTCCCAAAGTGCTGGGATTACAGGCATGAACCACCACACCTGGCCTTGCACAATTATTTTTAAGGCTGGACAAATGATGGAACTGGTGGAACTTGCATTCAGGTAAAATAAACATTATTATCAGGTGGTGGAGTGTTATGTTCTGTTTGAAGCAATAAAATATCCTGTAGGTAGTTGAAAATAGGAAACTGAAATTTGATGTGTTAGGATTTTGGTAAAGATTTGAATTATCGTTAGAAAGGAATTGTTGAAGCTCTCCAATAATTGGTCTGTTCTCTGAAGTAGAGCAGATTGACAGCCTTTTCTCTTAAAAGAAGCAAGCCTTGGGCCAGGTGTGGTGGCTCACACCTGTAATCCCAGCACTTTGGGAGGCCAAGGTGGGCGGATCACGAGGTCAGGAGATTGAGACCATCCTGGCTAACACGGTGAAACTCCATCTCTACTAAAAAATGAAAAAATTAGCTGGGCGTGGTGGCGGGCACCTGTAGTCCTAGCTACTCCGGAGGCTGAGGCAGGAGAAGCGCTAGAACCTTGGAAGTGGAAGTTGCGGTGAGCCGAGATCGCGCCATTGCACTCCAGCCTGGGCAACAAGAGTGAAACTCCATCTCCAAAAAAAAAAAAAAAAAGAAAAAAAAAGAGAGAGAGAGAAAAGACGCAAGCCTTACAGGTCTTCGTAGACATGGAATGAGGCTGCTCCAATTCCTGCTGGTCTCTGGAAGGGCTGAGAAAATGGAAAGGACAATTTCTTCTAAAAGTATGATTTTTCAAACCAGGATACCTGATATGGAAGATGATACCCAGTGCCACAGGAGAAGGTGCATTTGCGTAGACACTGGGGCAGGTCTGGGTGGGGAATGATACTTTTATGTTGAACCAAACACAGGAATCTTCAAAAAGTGTCTAAATTTACAGCCCTTCCTTTGGGCTATGACCTCCAGACATTCCAGGTAGTTTTTGTTCTCTTTGTTCTCTTTCCTGTGCTGTCCAGGAACACCTGTGAGGGAGAGTTTGAGAAGTGTCCATTTAAGTGATGGCAAGAAGCCCATGTGTACAGTCATGGCCCAGTGACAAAAAAAGTTGGCTAAAACATCAGAGTGGTGTGAAATGAATAAAGGGTTTTTCTTTGTTTTTTGATGCTTCTTACAAAAAATGTTTTTGCTGCTCTGTTGTTTTTATAACATGCTCAATAAGTTTCACTGCTCTACAAAGTAGATTAACGTTCCTGTATTATTTATGTACCATGGAAAAGGAACTGGTCCCACAAGGACTGACATTAATTTGTGTCAAATGATATTTTTCTTCATCATCAAAATGTGAGCAATTAAATCTCCACTTCTCAAATGTGAGAAACATATGAAAGAATGTTTAACCCATGAACAATTTTCCCGCCAGAGATAAAAATCAGTTGTACAAATAATGTTTATAAATCTTCTTTGATTTCGAAAATATTTTTATATCTTACTTTGCGGAAGACAACTTATCTGTAGGACAGCCTCTTCCAACACGGCCTCTCTTAAACTGAGCTGCTGTAATTCTATGAATGGGCTATACTTCATCCAAGTATGGAGGTTTAGGTGTTTTATTACTGGAAACTGAAACTGTGTGAGTTTAAAGAGAAACCAGCCATCTCTCTGTCCCAGTGCTGTGAGGTCATAAGTAAGCCATTTACCTTTCCTGTGCCACTGTTTCCTGTTCCTCTGCAAAAGGAGGCATCTTCCATCTTTAAGACTCGGAGCTGTCTTGCATTCTGGTATTGATATTACCAGAGCAGATGGGCTAATGTGTGACTCGCCTCACTAAACCTGTGAACTTGATGCTCACTGTGGCCCCAGGTGAGGTAGCTGGAGGGACACGGCCATCAGCCACAACCAGGTGTCAAAATCATCCCCATCCTTGTCTTCTCACATTCCCTGAGGCATCTACTTTCAGCAATCACTCATCAAGTCGGATATTGGAAGATGAGACTCTTGCCTTTCAATACCCTACATTTCACTGGAACAGGAAGGCACGCGCTGACTAGGGAGAGGAATCTGTGGTTGTGGCTCGTACATCTCATAGACATAAGACAGCTGTTTTAAGTGACAGACTCCTAAATTAAGATTTTCAAACAAGACTGTTCTTGTGAATATCAACACAATAATTCAGATAAAAACAAAGCAGGATTCCTGCCTTCTAAGCTAGAACCACGAGGCAGGCAAACTTGACTTCTTCGGCCCTTGGTATACAGTATGAGGCCTCAGGGAAGGCCTTTTTTACTTGGCTCCTTTTTTCACTTGTGGCTTAATTTCCAAGAATTTTCATCCAGTCTCTTAGTTTCTCACTGGACTTCACCTAATCATTCAAGACAAATAGTCACCTCCCCAAGAGATAATTATACCATCTCCCAAGGCAGTGTTTAATTGCTTTTACTGACAAGAAGTTACTCAATGTCTAACCTCAACCCTTTACTTCAGAAGTCTTGATCCCATGTATCTCGCAACAACTTTTCACAGCATTCTTGAAAACAATTAGATGTTCAAAGTACGGGTGTGCCCTGGAGTCAATTGTGTGTTATATGAGGGGGCACTATTTGTACACAACCCCATATCCACTTGGACACAGTTGAGAAAGACCCTACTGCTCTGCTATGATTTCTAGGATCTTTTCTCAGTGGGAGCTCTGCATGTTCCTGTCTTATTTCCCATTATCACTGGGGTGCTAGTGGATACCATTGAGGGCTTCAAGACTGCTTGCCTCTCCAAAAGGGTTAAGGCATCGCCTTTCCTTCGTGGAAGGGGCACAGGAATACCTCCTGGAGTGTATGGGAGGCCACATTGCATTCCCACAGCTGTGCACCCACTACAGCTATGGAAAACTCTATTTCTTTAACATATCAGGAGATATTTGTAGCTGGGAGGTTTACCAGTATTCATTAACAAACAGAAAGAGAAAACCAGAACCACCAATCAGAATAAAATCCTGTCTCAATATGACATGGCTAAGTAAAGTCACAAATGAGAAAAGTCTTTCCCCTGAGGATTACTTTAACAGTGACATTTTATGCATATATTATATCTATGGAAATTCTTCTGTCCCACAAATATATGTTAAATATTTTGAGGGATAAACAGATTTCTAAAATACAGTCTCAGATTAGGGGAATTTATTCAAGTTAATTCTAAGTCTCTGAGGACTGAGTGGGGGGAAAGAAATGTTTGAAAGCAGTGCTGTGTTAAAGGAGGCAGCAATGCCTGTGGCCTTTGGGTAAACTGAGCTGACCTAGAGAAACAGTGTCTGGGAAGGGCCATCAGTCTCCCCCAAGGGTTCTTCAGACAGCTGATTCAGTGCACTGTCAGAAAAGAGACTCCAGCCCTGTAGAGGCCAGTCTCATAAAGAAGACTGGAGAGCCAGAGAATGTTCTGATTAACAATAGCTTGACCTGACCAGGAATATTAGAGTGTCAACGAAAGAGGAAACTCTCATTCTAGTAGTAAAAGGAAGTGCAAGGGAAGAAGATGCAGTGCGTGTCCTCTTTGCCTCCCCACCTTTTAGATTTTACAAGGTGCTACCCATGGGTAAATGTTCCTCACCCCACCCCTCAGGCAGAGAGAGGCCACAGCACTTGGCAGCAGAAGGCATCTTGCTGTGAATTAAAAGGCACCCCTCCCTCATGTGGGCATAGCACCCAGCAGGTTGTAAGGTCCAGGGAGGGGAACGACCTGTTTCCCAGCCCCTCTGGCCTTACAGGTGGAATTGTTTGTGCGAAACACAAATTACAGAAATGTACAACAAATCCCTGGCTGGCACCAAGTTCATACTTGGTGCTGTTGGGACTCAAGACACTTCACCCGTAAGTATGATGGTAGGAGACCAGAACATGCCACCCCAGAATATACTTCTTTGGCATATTTTGAGCTGGTTATTCTGAGAAATTGCAGACACAGGAGTGGCTCTGAATAGCTGTTCTTTTATGAAAGAAATCTATATCTATAAAGGAAAACAATTGTCATAGGAGTCTCACAAACCAGAGAAGATCTCATCACAGGAGATAAGATTGGAGGTGATATCTTACCCAGACAGACTCTGTCACAGGTGATCACAAATTCTTCTGAGAGATGCACTGAAACAACTTTTACTACTTATGAGGCTTTCTATCTGCATTACAAGATAGCCTTTGTTCATCATACATTTCTTCCCCTC